TGATGAAGATCAGAGACGTCCTCATGATGAAGATCAGAGACGTCCACTTGATGCACATGTTTTAAAACAGCTGCAAACTCTTTTAGGTTTCTTCTCTTAAACGTGTTTTGTCTTGTCTCCCTCCTGGCTGTACTCAGACTGGATCTGTCTCTTGCTCCTGTCCTCCTCTTCCTCACCTCTAACCTTCATCCAGGCACAAACTGTTGGTTTGATTTGAAATTCACGTCATCGAGGCTGGAGCTGTTGTTTCTCCTAAACATAGACATTTTAAATAAAGAAGAGAACCTCCCACTTCAGATCAGGACTAGTGGTTTTAGTTTTCCTGTGGCTCGTCTCAGATGTAAAACATGGTTTTGTGCTCCTGCGTCCTCCTCGTGTGAGACCTCACGATCTTCTCTCATTCAGGGTCTTCTCACTCTGAACTCTCGGAGCTGCCGGTCTCCATGAGCAGCTTCTGTTGTGCTTGTTCCAGAAGCGTTAACATCTTTCTTCATTCACTGCAGCGACTGGTCACATCAGACGATGCTTTGCTGCAGTTTTCATGACCTCGTCAAATCATCTCAACATATTTAGAGGAGCAACAAGTTCCTTAGATTTGAGCGTTACTAAGAGTTTAGCAGCTGTCCTGCCCGGGGGGGGGAGTTGTTTTTATATTGTTGTTCAGTCAGGGCTGTCAACGCCCTAATCTGTGTAGTGTTCAGTTCTTGAGTTCATGGGTTCATTTGTTAGTTTTTCTGTTTTTCCTCGTGTCTTCAGTGCTTCTCCTCAGCTCTGCTCCGCCCTCTCTCACCTGTTCCTGGTTGTTTTTAAGACCAGGTGTTTCCACTCTGCTCGTTAGTCCCAGTCCACTTGTCCTCTCAGTTTTCATCCCCCTGCAGTCGATCGTTGTGTCCCCGTGCTCTTGTTTGTTTCTTTTTTTACTTGTCTCGTTTCTTGTTTTTAGTTCATTGTTCAAAGTTTTACTGGAGTTCTCCGTGTTTGGTCTACGTTGTTGGGTCCCATCTTTCTACGAAACATCCATCCATTATCTTTAGCCACTTTTTCCTTTTTGGGCCATGGGGGACACCCTGGACAGGTCTCCAGTCCATCACAGGGACACATAAAGACAAACAACTATTCACTCTCTCACTCACACCTAGGGATAATTTAGAGTTACCACTCAGTCTAACATGCATGTTTTTGATCTGTGGGAGGAAACTGGAGAAAACCCACGCAGCACGGAGAGAACATGCGAACTCCACCTCTGACAGTTGAACAGGGAGAAGGAAGGCGTAACTGAAGGTTTTCTTCTTGGCTCTCTGCTTGCAAATGGTCTCCAAAGAGGAGAACGAAAGCCCGATGACTCCATGAGCCGTTTTATCCACATGTTGCAGAGGTTTTTTTTTAGACATTTACAACTCAGTTACCACGACGTGATGCTGCTCATCAGGATGCTCCCAGTAGTCCTCCATGAAACGATGGTGAGACTCCAGGAGAATTTTCCTTTTTGGTGCAGCTCTGTGTGTCAGGTGCCAGTGCTGTGTCTTAGTAAACCAGTACACTATTAAGACTGCACCTAAAGCCCATTAGGATGTAGGACACAGAACGGTGTGTTTTTACCCTGATTGTAATTTTAACCTCATTTTCAAACTTTCATTACAAAAGTGAGTCTTAACTGGAGTTAGTGGGAGAGATCATATCTCTCCAGTTTCAGCTTCTCTCCACTGGCTCCCTGTCAAATCCAGAATTGAATTCAAAATCTTACTTCTAACCTACAAAGCCCTCAACAACCTAGCTCCATCTTATATTCCAGATCTTATTGTTCCATATTTTCCTAACAGAGCACTTTGCTCTCAGACTGCAGGTTTACTCGCGGTTCCTAGAGTTTCCAAAAGCAGAATGTGAGGAGGATCTTCCAGTTCTCAGGCTCCTCTCTTGTGGAACCAACTTCCAGTTTCTGTCCGTGAGGCTGACACAGTGTCCAGTTTTAAGACTTTACTTTTTGATAAATCCTATAGTTAGGGTTGACTTTTCATGCTGTCTTAAGTTTAGACTACTAGAGGACAAACTGACCTAATTTCCTTAAAATTTAATAGTTTTCATTTGATACTATTTCTATCTTAACATGTGACTCTTGACCTGCCATTGTGTATCTGTTCCTCTCAAACCCAGCTGGTTGAAGCAGATGGTCCGCTTGTCCTGAGCCTGGTTCTGCTAAAGGTTTCTTCCTCATGAGGGAGTTTTTCCTTCCCACTGTCGCCTTCATGCTCGCTCAAGATGAGAGTTCTGTGATGGAGTTAAACTCTAAGCTGCTCCTCAGATAAATAATGTTAAATTATTATTTTTATTTATGAATGTTTCTGTTCAGTGCCCTGAGACGACTTCTGTTCTGACTTGGTGTTTTATAAATCAACTGAATTGAATTAAAGTCAAACCTACATAATGGGATCTCCCATGTTTGAGCAAACGCCCGATTAGCTTTTCTCAAGTTCACTGAAATAAAATCTGTTTTTGCGTCAGAGTTAACCAAGAACATGGAACTGGAGAAAGAACTGGAGTCCAGTTCGTGTTGTTTTGATTAAATAAATGATGCTACCGTCTACGTATTGATAATCGTTAGTGTTGGAGCGTCTCATAATCTTGTAGCTGCAATGAATTCACAGCAGATTAGCTCATCAGTGAGGGTGCTGCTCAGATTATGACCATATCGTACCCAGCAGTTGTAATCTCATTCTGATCTGTTTGTCCCTGTCAGTTGATGTTTCGTACCTGTTGGTACCCTGCTGATGATCACGCTGTTTATCTTGTAGTCAACAGTATATTTTGTTATAACTTTGATGCCGAGGTCGCTACAAAACATAGAAGGGAAGATGTGACACGAGCCGAGGCAGGTGGAGGTGGACATGAAGAAAACTGTTGCAGGCAGCTTCGTTTTGTACCCATAAAATGTGGGTACAAAGTGAGCAAAGCTGCGATTGAGCAGAGAGATAAAGTGACTTAGAGCTGTCAGCCCTTGTGTGGCGTGCGGAGGGATGACATTTTTCTCCATCGGTGATTGGCTCCACGTATATTTTTAATAAAAACAAAGCCGGAGAAAAGCCTTTCTAAGTGACTGCAGCAAAGTTTCATCTGTCCATAAAATTATCTTCCTCTTGTTGAAGCGTCGGTGTTTTATTCTATACATAAAACAGGCCAAATTGTGTTAAAGTGAAGAGGAGGAGGGCCACATTTATTACTCTGAAATGAACACGTTTACGCCTTTCTGCACTTACAGTTTTATTCATGAGTTCCAGGCATCCAGCAACTGATCTGTCAAGTTTTTTAATTCAAAAAGTGTCTACGAAGTGTAACACGAGCGGTCCTGACTCGGTGCTTTGTTCACTCGGTTGTTTGAGGTTCCCGGTAAAGAACGATGTGCACACGGCTGAACACCACGTAATTTATGTTGGTCCGGTCTTAACGATCATTTTGAAATGCGCCATTAGAGCTGAACCGATTCTGATCGGCTTGTTTGCTCACAAATGTTTGTACGCACGTTTTAAATGTTCGCTTAAACACTGTGTTGATTTTTTTTTATTTTTCTAATTTGTCATACATCATTTTGCGATAGAAAAGTTTTTACTCTTCATCTTTATAAATAAGAAAGTAAGTTGCTCATTTTCTTCGTAAATACTAAGAAGTGAGATGTGGAGGGTAAACTTTTCTTTTTTTATTTACAAACTTCGCATCGTTTCAAACACGGTTCATGCGTGTCACCTGCTGCTTTTCTTACCGGAGTCAAATTATTTTACTTTGAAACATGACATTATGATCAAACCTGAAAACCAACGTTATGCACAAGCGCACGTGTGTTCAGGATGAATCTCAGCTACTACCACACAAAACTTTAGCTTTACAGGCATTTTTTGTGTTTTCCAAGTTTCTGTTTAACTGGCAGCCATCTTGAATAGGGTTGATTCCAAAAAGACATTGATGTAGACGCAACACGAATAAATGTTTAACTATTTATTAACCTTTATTTAACCCATTGAGATCTGTTGCAAGGGACACCTGGACCAGAAGGCTGCCTAACATGCATGTTTTTGGTCATGAGGAGAACATGCAAACTCCACTCAACCAGGGGATTGAACCCAGGACCTTCATGCTGTGAGGCAACAGTACTAACGCTGCCGTTCTGCCCTCATGCTGAAAGAGGTTTATGAATTATTTTACTAACAGACAAACATCTCGTGCAGAAACTCACAGACAGGTACTTTACGGGCGGGCGATACTAAAGTACTGAAACAGATAAAACATTTTAATACTCTGATAGTTTTAATGTGATAAAAGTAAATTGTAAAAATAAGAATTTTAGTTAATGATGTTTTGGGGAGGTGACACTGGCACGGTGGTGAAGTTGGTAGAGCTGTTGCCTCTCAGCAAGAAGGTTTACAGATCAAATCCCAGCCGGGGGCCTTTCTGGGTGGAGTTTGCATGTTC